CTTCCACGTTTTTGGCGACACTATCTCACTATGTACTTCGCATTTAGGTGTGCCGCGTCGACATCAACGATCTATCTCATATTTTCGACTGGTGTTTCGACTCGGGACCAGATGCTCTATTCCAGTCCTGATACCCGTGCATGTCACCGTGATCACCTACCACACTTCCTACTCACTCCATATTGTTCATTATATTGTACACTTTATAGCATATGCTCACGTTGCCTGTAGTTTTTTTGATGCTCTGTGTGTTGTTTCTCCGCATCTCATCTAATGTGAAAGAACCAGATGTAACATCTATTAACCCAAGTACATAAAAAAAGCATAGGCATGACCGTAACAAGCATAGGCATGACCGTTGACAAATCACAGGGCTTTCACATATATATACAGATTGGCAGAGCCACGCGTTTTCGGATTGGTTTCATTCTTCCAGACCAGCAAGCAGAATGGTCACCATGGGCATATTATCAGAACACCAAAAGGGCTGTATTGAATTAGACCTGGAGCATCCGCCCAATCAGCTTTCTGAATACGTAGCGTACGAAAAATGAAGTGGAGTACTGACTTCGATGTCCACCTGATACCTTCAAAGACCGTGAAATGGCCCGTATTTACGTAGTACCTGAGTTCTGAATACGCCAATGACTTTGGCTTTCAACATTCGAGAGGGGAAAATGTGATTGGGTACGAAGTGAAGGACGATTGCTCGAAGGATACCGCAAGTGGTCGAGCGAGCTCGAAGGTTGCAGTTGGGCGACAGGAATTCGACGTAAGCTTCCGGTAGGCTAAAGATCTTCTTCCAAAAAAGAGGGTCACCGTTAGGCGTTGCTTTCGCCGCCCGACCTCTTAGTGCTGTGATAACACGACGCCGGTTGCCCGTCGATGGAGCCGGCGTAGGTGTCCTGCGTGCCCGATTAGCAGCGGCTGAGCGTCTGCGTACAGGTCTGACAGACGAATCTACATTCCCGATTATAGAAATATTTCCAGATATTCTGACGGGCATTGTGAAGTTTCTATAGGATGGAGAGAGATTAGACATTGTACGGGAGATTTGGCCATATGATGAATACTGTAACTGACGAAGAAATGAAAACGCGAGGCTTAAGTGAGCAGATAATACGCGAAGATACGGGAGGTCAACTATTTCGCGAGGGGATCCCGGCTCGTGTGGCTTGAAAGCGCTGCGATCTGCTGTGATAGGGTTATATAGAATGAGGAGAATTCAGAGGTAGTAGGTAAGATTTGGTGATATCTCAATATTGTCACTGACCCCAAAAGCAAAAGCTGGATTCTTGAAGGGAGCAGATGATTCGTTATGGTGTGCGAGCGAATCGTGACTTGGAAGCGCATCAATATATGAATCTCCGTTCCCCTTTGTGGTGTTTTTCTCCAAGAGAATCATAACGCGAACCCGTTGTCCCGCAAATCAGTCTTAAGATTCCCCTTCAAACGACTTCGCCACTACCCACGCGCTCGAGAACACTCCATCGACAATGAGATGATTTCGCTCAGTGGCTGAACAGAGGACTCGTAAACAAAGTATGTGCGGCTGCTTATTCGCGATTGTGCTGAGCTCGTATCGCCTTGACTGATCCTTTTGAGTCTTGGAGCCCACCTTACCGGCCGATTCTCGACTGATCACCACTACTCCGGTGAACGTAAAACAAATCCCCAAATTACATCCGCCTCTACGCCGTTCTATTGTCGCCTTCTTCAAAGGGTGATTTCTCTTTTTTTTCAAATTCCTTTGTTTTTCAAACGTAAGAGTCTAACGCGAACCCGTTTCGCGTAAACCTTGCGTAACACGCGCTCCCCTTCAACCCACGTGCTGATCTCGGCACTGCTACGCACCTGAGAAGGCCTCACTGTAGAACACAGGAGTCGCGAAGAAAGCTGTGGATGCGCAGTGCAATTGTTCTGAGTAAGTCACTTTGATCGCTCGCTAAATTTTATGGTTCGAAGTAGACTAAATTTCCGAATACTCCCCACATCCACGTCCTCAAATTAATCTCCAGCTTTCTGTTCACCTTTTCAGTGTTATTTTAGGAAAACAAACGCCTGCTAGAAACTCGACATCAACCATTCTTTTTCCACTTCCTTCCGTTCTTCACTATCTGCCTTACCTCTGAAGCGAAACCATTTCATCAAGATGAAGCTGCACGGCGCACGACGGTTCGTCCGCAAGATCCAAAAGCTCGCCGACAAGCTTAAGAACAGAGTCCGTGGCCCTGAAGGTAAGAATTGGCCATCATGCTTGAAGTGCACGTTTTTTCGGGTAATTGAGGAAAGTGTTCATTTCTGTAGGTCTAAAACGTACACCAATGGCAGAGAAGCTTAACCAGAGACTCCGTGGACCTGAAGGTAAGAATTGTCCATCGTAAATGTGGTGCACGTTTTTCCCTGGATGATGTAAAGACGTTCTCATTTCTGTAGATCTCCGACGTACACTGATGGCAGAGAAGCTTAGAAAAAGACTCCGCGGACCTGAAGGTAAGAATCGGTCATCGTAGATTAGGTGCACGTTTTTTCCTGGATAATGTAAGAATGTGCTCATATCTGTAGATCCTCAACGTATACCGATGGCTTTGATAGAAAGTGTGGCGTCTATACCAATGGACGCGCAACTTTCTATCGAAAATGACGATGGCACGCCTCCATCAGAATCTGAAAGTACCCGTGACACCTGTTTCAAGCTGGCGCGCAAACAGTTTGGCCCCGCGGAGATCAAACCAATTGCTTCGAAAACCGGTCCTGCGTTGATTGCCTCAACTTCCAGCAAATATTTGGGCCCACATGACCAGGTAAGCTTGAAAAGCTGTCCATCTAACAAGGACGCAAGAGCTGACAACACCTGAACCAACCTCTCCGGTGAACTGGTCATGTAGGCTCTGTCATCTTCGAAGAATGTTGCTTCTGTCACCCACAAGGTTGAGAAAAAATATTGTGATTTTTCTCTGGTGCCACTAAGAAAGCGACCTTACAACGAAGAGAAAGGCTGCCAAGGTCAAAGCCTACTCTCCAGTGTTCTTGATATGATATGCGCTGACACGGAATCTATTGCTAGCCCATCCAGATCTGAACACCAAGCGAGCAAGGTATTCAAATGATTTATACAAATACGCGGAGGTCTTGCGCCTCATCAAGGGTCTACATTCAAATTTAAGAGACCTGATGTGCGGTAAGTCATTTGATACATTAGATCATCCGAATAACTCGCTGACTTGTTAACGTTAGACAAAGTGCCTGGGTTTGTGGAAGTTACGTCAGTAGGGAAGCACGCTCTTGTGCTTAGCGAAATGAGAAGCACGTTCTCCCAAGTTGATCATGTATTTCAGGAGATTCTCTTGGATGAAGAGGATTCCGTGATGTATGAAGCGAGTCATATCTGAGTGACCTCAGAGAACCGGAACTTGTCAGCTGGCAAGATTTCCGGGGGGACCAATACCTTGGCATGTAATCAACTCTGCTGTGATATGATACCATAGCTCCTTGTCATTCTTAGGCAGGATATCAGTAGACTTACCCTGATTATACTCGCAGAAGAGGGAGACTGGGTTCAGTTGGATGTGTTCTTTTACAAGTTTTTTCGCCAGAATTTGTTCATGTTGTCATGTGATTATCTCTTGCTGCTGTTTTTCTTTCTTGCCTCAAATTTAACTCGGCACCAGCGTTCTGTACTACACCTAATTATCTAAAAAGTGTGCCATAGGGAGTTAGCCTTTGCTGATAGAAATATCTCGACGTATTTTTTCAAGCATCATTTTGATGCCTTACTTCAAATTTTTGTGTGTATATTATGTAATATATTATTCTCAGTATATATCCATTCGGACCTTGAAGAGGAAGGCGGAAGTCATCAAGAGCGCTTCATTGTAATTTCGATTGAGAAAGATATAATGTGAATCTTTGAGCTTTCAAGTTCGAAGTTCGAGGCTTGAAGTTCGAAGTTCGAACTTCGAACTTCAAGCCTCGAGCCTCGAACTTCGAACTTTGAACTTCAAGCAGCTTCGAGCGAGCTTGAAAGCTCAAAGGTTGAAGCTCCAAGCTCTTCCACGCTTACACAAGCTTCAAGCTCCAAGCTCTTCGAGCCATAGAATGCTCTTTCTTTATTGTGAAATTTCTTTTTGGCCTTTTTTTCAAGTAAGGGTTCATGATTGTCAATTAGGACTGTGGTGTTCTACAAAATCAGAAGAATGAACGACTTTCCGTTTGTGATCTCAACTTGCATGAAATGCATTTCCCTCTTTTTGTGTTGTTTTGCTTTTTCTCTTAAACCGGATGTCTTTTCAAATAAACCCCTTTGAAATTTAATTCGTTTTCAAACTTTTTTTTCAAGTAAGGGTTCATGAATTTCAAGTAGAAATCTCTTTTTCTTCGGAATCAATAGAATCAATGACTTTTCTTTTGTGATCTCAAATTGCTTGATTCTTTGGATGAAACAACACCTCTTGCTACTTTTCATTTCCCTCTTTTTGTGTTGTTTTTTCTCTTAAACTACACGTTCTTTCAAATAGCAGCCTTTATGATTTCGGAGGGGGGATTGGATCGCAAGGATCAATCCGAATTTATTCCGCAAATGATGTTGCATCGGATGTATAGGGGATTGGGTCGCAATGAAATGACCGGTCTCGTATCGGATCCGGGATTGCATCGGGGCGGGACGGTGGATGGACCGTCGCGTGAAAGTTACGCGATGAGACAATTCCATCGCACGTAGGGTTGAGTCGAAGCAGCATTTCGCGAGGTTGCATCAGAATGAGGATCAGTCGGGTGTCGCTCATGCGGCTTTATATCGGAGCTGAGCTCCATCGGATGAGCCCGACTGTTTCTGAATCGGACTGGGGATTCAGTCGCGCCAATCATGTTCGATTGTAGATCGCAAACCTGTTCCATCGCATGGCTTGGGCGTGATACTGAATCGGGGCACCGTCCCCAAATTGACAACGGGAAGGGCTTCCCGACGCAAATTTCTTGGCGGTGAATCGTACTGCCGTCGTGGGGGAAGTCGCTGAGCTTGGGACTTGCAGAACCTATTCAGGTGTCGGTGATAATAAGCCGGGATCAGTTCGTCGAGTGGTTTGCTGACGAGTTTCTTCTTCTCCTCTGCAGCTAATTTGGCAGATGTTGACCATGATGTGTTCGCCGCTGAGATACCTAGAGCAGAGTTATTTGGAAGGGGATCCTGCTGGCCAGCTAATTTGGTGGCATGAGAAAGAGATTCGGTAACAAACTCACATTGCAGGGGCTTAAATGTGTCTAATAGATCACAGGCCCCCTTGTCACAGTTCCTTACGTGCCCCTTAGGCTCTTCTTTGAGATCTTCAGGGTTCTGGGTTGGACAGGACGAAGCTGCGTCATCAGCTGCAATATCAAGATCCGTCGTCTTCAATATCCTCACGGGTTTGACCTCAGGTACGTTAAGGATGGTGTGTTGCCGGGATTCGAAAGTCTGTTTTTTCAATGGAGAACCAGGCTTGCCAGCTGTACAATGTGAGGGATTGGAGGGGACGGGATCAAACTCACATTGCGGGGGCTTTAATGTGTCTGATAGATCACAAGCCCCCTCGTCACGTTGCCTAGCTTCCCTCAAAGGGTCCATACCTTGGCCTGGAGAGGGTGTGTTTGGACTGGACAAAACCGCCTTAGCAGCTGCAATGTGGGAAGGATGGTGTAAAACAATGCCATTGGGCCAATCAATAAGTGAGTAGTTTTTCTTAATCCACGGGATTCCCAATATACCGTCGTAGGAGTCTTTAATTTGGGTGATAACAAAATGAGTTGGTGATGTGTTGTCATTGATGTGTAAGTTAGTTTCAAAAGAGGAGCGGCTACTGGATCCATCAAATCCAGTCACCACTCGGCTAGTTCTGTGGGCTTGCTCAGTGATACTGGTTGAAGTCACGTAAGACTCGCTCAGTACATCATGAGTGGCTCCAGAGTCAATGAGGAAACGGGCAGTGGGGTAATGTAGTGGTGTGGCTAATGGATTCTGGGACTGGGAGAGTGAGGCATTGAGAAATAACCGTTGATCATTTGCATTACACGATATAATTCTACTGGCACCTAAATCTAACCCATCAAAATCCACAACACGGCTCAGGGTAGGCACGACCTTCATTCCTGAGCCCCTCCATTTTTTGAGGAATCAGCTCTACTAGGTCCTTCTTTTCTATCTACATCTCCACCATCACGACTACATAAAACTGCTATCTTAGCCTCTAATTCACTGATCTTAGTTTTAAAATTGCCTTTGCCTCTGAATTGACTATCCCTCTTTCTACTTGGGCATTTGCGTGCTCTATGACCTTGTTGCGAACAGTGAAAACAAGATCCAGTCTTCAACCTCTTAGCTTTCTCCTCCTCAGATAATCGCACGAACGCAGCTGACAGGTCCATAGCATTGGGATCAGATACCGTTGGCGTGGTGTGAGAGCTATGATCAGAGACACCGTGAATCTTGCTGTCGATACGTATAGCAAAATTGGTGATTTCTTCGATAGATTTAAAGGGTTCTTGCACCATCACCATAGCGACACGAATTTCCCTTTTGAGGCCTTGTTCGAATTGGCTGATCAGGGTTGGTGTTTCCCAGCCGGTGGCCGTAGCGTAGATATTGAACTCGTGCGCATAAGCTGCGACTGTGGTCTTCTGAGTTAAGCTGCAAAGTGCTCGCTCAGCTTTTGATTTCTTTTCCGTGTCAAAGTACATGGCTTTGAAATTGTTCACGAAGCGTTCGAACGTTACTTTGTGAGCCGTGGATTCATCCAGAAGCTCCTGGGTCATCGGTTGAGCCCAACTACTAGCAGCACCGGTTAAGTACGATAAAGCAAATACGACTTTGCTACGATTGTTCGCGAAGAGAGATGGGTGGGCGAGCATATAGAGTTGGACCTGGCTGGCGTAGATCTCAGCCGGTCCCCCTCTAGTACCGGTGAATTTGTCTGGCACCGTAACTTTTGGCCCTTTTGGTATGGCATCAACCTGCATCGGTGGCTGGTAAGGGGCAGCCGTTGGGATATTTCCCGGTTGGTGCTGATTGGATTCGAGCGCAGCCATTCGAGCCTCGGCTTGTTGAGATCTTGCTTCGGCTTGCATCCGAAGGTTCTTTTCTTCAGCTAGTGAGCTGGTAAGTTCTGCTAATTGACGTTGGATTTCTTCCATGGTCACAGTCGAAGTATCAGGATGGTCGGAGTCTGTAATGCGGGGTGCGTCGACGAATGCCAAAGGATTTTCAGAGTCCGATTCAGTATCGTCCAACGAGGGTGTGTTGTATGTCGGAGACGTGGTGGCTTGTATTGATCTGAGAATTCGGTAGAGTTTTGGTTGGCCTTGCGGTGAGTTTAAGCTTCAATCTAATCTTGTAAATCTAATCTTATCTAATTATATAAATCTAAGTTTCTACTTTATTCTAACTTTGAGTTTCTAATCTGTTTCAATTTATTTTGATCTTCCTTGAGGTTAAACAATTCAGTCGTGATGTGGATTCAATCTATTGCTTCAAGTTCCGTATGATGAAAAGGTCTGACAATATGTTATGGTGGGTCCTCTGGGTTCTTGCCACGGAAGTGAAGCTCTTCACAGTTTATCCAGGTGATTAGTTAGATTGTCAGATGAGGGAAAATCTCTGATACAAGCACTGTGGAAGTATGTGACTGGGTACAAAGTGTGTGACATGTTGTAGTGAGAATGTCACCGGAAGTGACACGTAATAAGTTCCATAACAGCAAACACAAACACTATTGACTAAGTGAAAAGTGATGGGCCAATGTTTTCAACAGACATCCACAGCTGGTACATCCAAAGCTGGACCACTGTTTAACCTACAAATAACAAAATTGAACTTCTCAAGACAATTCCAGCTTCTCAAGGCCCAAGTTTGGATGTAACATATCTATGTGGAAAAGTAGAAGTCTATACCTATTCTTCCCCAAAGTCTGAGATCTTTTCATCCTTGGCCGACTTCAGATCTCTGTATGGTCATCCACTGATTACATGTAGTACATGTAGTCTACACGGAGAAGTGTATGTAGTTGTTATCCTCAGTCAAGAGATCTTCTGCGGAATGTGACATGGCAAAGCTTCTTGACCTGTCTTCACTCAAGGAAAACCTACAAAGTGTAAGGCAGCTGGTATGTTTTTAGTGGCGAAAGCTTCCAAGTGTTAGGCAGTTCTGCAAACTCTAGGGGCAGCTTTGATTTCCCTCTGTTTTCAAATCTGAATGGTGGGATCAAATACCTAGCCTCATGGCCTTATTCAAATGACTTTTAGAAAGGCTTGCTCAAGTACTGAAAGAAAATTAGTTGAAAAACTCATAATTGCAGTTGCACATAGAATTCCCACTTTTCAACTACTTTTCTTTTAGTTCTGGCACAAATTTATTCAAAATTAATTTGCAGGAGGCCATCAGTTGGTGTATATCATTACACTGGTCAGACGTGAAAGTGTGTGAAAACTAAGGCTGCACCTGAATTTGGCATACTTCCAGACACTGATACAAATTATTCTATATGGATTATTTATAGTTATTATGCTTCCTTTGTTACATCACACACTTGTGATAGTTATGAATGGTATACCATCATCCTTGATTTTGATACTTAAAAGGTTCACTTTGCTCTTTCCTGCTGTTTCCCCTTTTCTTTATCAAATTCAAACCTTTTTCTCAAGAATTCTTGTTTAACGTCACAGTTCTTATCATCCTATTTGATCAGTGTGCAGCTTATACAAAGCTCACTCCTGAGTCTCATTATTCATAACCATTTTAAATATTTCTAGGGTCCTATGACAGCGGTACTTGGTGCCATTTTGATGGAAGTGTCCAAAAACTACATTCTTCATAGCACTTGCTTTTGGTTCATTTCCAAATGTGATAACACACTTTGCTTTCTTGCCTAGTAAAGGTTAAATTGGATGTCAAAGTTAGGTAATGGAGGAACCATAAAAACATAAAAACACTACACTGTGGCATATGGGAATATAAGACTGACAACTGATACATAGTGGGGCTGGGATGATCATCAAGTCTGGCCACCCTCTATCATATTTAGCCAGAGACAAAAGATTTGATCCAGATCTGGGTGATATTCCTGGCACACATGTGTAAGCCTATAATCCATGCCACCACTATTACCTCTCAGGGTTGGCATATGGCCTATGTGCTACAACTTACCTGTAAGATATCAACATGAGGGATCAGTATGAAGTTATTTGCAGAGGCAGCCAATATTTTCCCTCAACACTTTGACTATTCAGAAGAAACACCCATCATTTTTTGCTCTAAATGTATTCATTTTTTACTGGGGAAAATTACTTTATGCTGGTAGTGCCACCTTCAAGATGATCACATCGTCTCGTGCCATCGTCTCTCTTTTAGGTTGAATTGTTGGCTGTCCCAAACCATCAACTACAATTCTTTGGTCCCAAGCTGCTTGCATCAGTTTTTATGCCACTTGCTGTTGTAGTCAGAAGCTTCTACAAATATTGGAATTATGTACAAACATCCAGGCTCACACTCCCTCAGACCAATTTTATCACAAGTTGCACAAAATAGTTGTTGAGTTGAATATGACAAATCATCACCAACCTCTTGGGCAAATCCAATGTACTTTCATATAAGACTGGGATAAGTGATCACAGAGTGACATACAAAGTGAATCTCCCCACAACATCTCCACAGGTGGTTGATCATCAGAGATTGTAGAAGACTTTCATGACTGTATACTGAAGAGTTTGAGGAGGGTTCTGAGGATGAGATGAATAGAAAGAAAGAGAGAAGGGATTGGAGAAGTTGCTATGACATGTAAGTTTGACAGTTTAAGTTGACTTTAATTGATAAACTTTACTGAATTTCAAACTTCTCAATTCTTCTCACAAACCATTTCATCATCATCACCATCACCATCACCATCAGACTTCAGTTCACCATCACCACCTATCATCACTTCCTCATCTTCACTCTCATCAACCTCAACACCATATTACGACGATCAACTTTCATTTCAGTAAAACTGGTAAACTCCTTTCGCCATGGCCTTTTGGCGGTGAGTTTTAAGCGCAAATCTTGGCTATCCTACATTTCATCTGCCATTAACCCCTAACCCTTATTCACACTTCACACTTTATGCTTACGTTTTTTTGACTTGGCTTCATCACGACCTTAGTTTTGGCTTCCATTCCCAATCAGCTATCGATACCATCCTTTCTTCGTCCGCGGCAAATAATAATGGACATCCGATCGGTGGCTGCTCAACGCCTTCCTCGTCTAATCCTTCTATCCTTCTCGACAAACTACTAGATGAAGATGATTTACTGCAGGAGATCAAGGCACAACATCATAAGCTGATTGAATTCCTAGCTACCAAAGAAGTTGTTGTCCGTATGCTGGGTTACATATCCGGTCTCATCTTTGACGATGAAGACGCAGACAGGCTTGAAGAAGAAACCCGATCAGCAATCAGCAATCTCAGCTTCCAGCCCTCTTCTCCCTCGGATTCGAGCTACATGTCTGGTGCTATATTCCATTCCTTTCGGAACCGTGCTGTGGGTGATAAGTTCAGTGCATTATTGCTAGACGCTCTAGATTCAGAAGGTCGCACACCAGAAGACCGGGCTAAAAATGAGCGGCGCAAGGTTCGGTTCCCGTATATTTGCTCCGAGATTATCGCATCCGATATTTGGAACGTCACCTCTCAAATCTTCGCAGACGCTCCTCATTATGCCATCCTCACCGGTTTTTGGGATGCTGTCTTGAACCAACCGCCAAGCGTGACCGCTCATAAGTCTATACAAATCGGACATTGGGCCCGAACCAACATTGTCCTTTTCAACTCTAAGCCCAACGAGATGATTCGCTTTGTTCTCTCTTACCCAGGACTCATTCTCAAGCTACTCTCGCACTTTAACTCATCGCCTGTGGTGGATGTGCTCTTGAAGATTATTCAATGTGAAGCTGTACACGAAGGTATCATTGATTGGCTGATCGATTCTACGGATTTCGTGGAACTCATAATCAACTTCCTTCACCCTTCTCGTCCGGTTGAACTTCACATCGCTGTTGCCGATTTCCTCAAAAATGTCATTGGTTTCTGCACGACTAAAGCCACTCCACCTCAAACACCAGCAGATCAATCATCGAAGCCTTCTCCTAGCGCACACTCCCCCATCCTTCCTCATCAGTCTTCGCAATCCAATTCACCAATCGATAGTTTCAATGCTTTGCATTCCCCTTCGGCGCACACACTTAGTGGTTCTGGCGTTTCAGAGGATGGTAAATCTATCACAACTAGACTTATGCGCGAACTTGCTAGCTCATCTGTGGTTTCTAAGTTATTGTCTTTCGGCCTCGATGCTGAGATGCCAGAAGATGAATCTCTAATCACCAAGGAATCTATCACCTCATCACTTGTTAACTCTCTCTCTATTCTCATTGATCTCATCCGACGTAACAATTCAGATTTCTCGGAGGCTCAGATCCTGATACACTTACGCAAGAACGATACTGGAACTTCACCATCGGATGAGGCCAACTCATCTCCTCCATCTCCCATCCGAAATCCTGACACTGAAACTCCGCCTTCACCAGCTCCTGCGATTGTGGCTCTCATGGATCTCTTGGACCGCATATCTGATCGCCTTCCAGATCTACAACGGCTAATCCGAACACCCACCTCTTCAGTTCGGCCGATTCGCACTACTGTCGGTACAATTGTACCCCTCACTCTCGAGCGCTTTCGAATCATTGAGCTGTACGCCGAACTATTACACTGCTCTAACATGAACATGGTAAATCGACCCAAGTCAAGTGGACCAGTTTACGACCAGAATGGACATTTGATCAGTGGTATCGATGACCTGATCGCAGTTGTTTGTCCTGCCCCGAGTACACCCAGTGAAACTCCGCTCGAAAAGAGTGCTGGCCCTTCACTGGAATTGACTGGCGCAGAAAAGAAGAACGAAACAGAGTCTACTGTCGAATCCGCCGTTGATGGAGGCCAAGGTACGGATTCAAACACTACACCAGCCAAGAACAGCGAAAAAGAAGCATCGACAGATGTGACAAACAGCGCAAGCTCACCTGGAAGTTCAACTCATCCTTCAAGCGATGATGAAACCCCATCGGGAATGCGACTGAAACGTCGTTTCATTCAGCATAAAGTTCTTGACACATGTCTAGATTTGTTTTTTGACTTCCCTTGGAATAACTTTCTCCACAATGTGGTCTATGACATCATACAACAGATTTTGAATGGGCACTTTTTTGGACCTGGGGGTGAGGCTAGCTTAGAGCTCGCCAAAAGCTTATTCGATTCATCAAGGATTATTGAGAGGATCCTAGAAGGTATTGAGATCAACCATACCTATGGGTGAGTTCATCCTTCTCGCCTACATACTTTCCGTAGAGGAGCTACTCACCGCTGTGCACCTGGTTCTTACATAGTTTAATGTCTAATAATGTTCGGCTTGGGAACATGGCACATCTGATTCTTATCGCTGACGAAATTTCCAAAGCACTGGAATCGCAACCTGAAACTTTTGCCGACATCAGTCGGAGAATTGAATCTAATTCCAAATGGCAACACTTCGTAGATACGGCGGTAAAGGAAGCTCGATTCAACAGTCATACACCACTCGGGGGCTCAGTACCACAACCTGGTCTGAGTCAACCTACTGCATCTTCGGACAAGAGTTTAGTCATTGATGGTGAGACCTTTCCAACCAACAGTGGTAGTGAAGGTCAACGAGATCCAAAGGCTGGATGGTCAATCAAGTCTCCTACACTGGCTAATTCGACTACTCTCCAGGATCAAGATGAAACCAAAGGTGATGAATACACTCGTTACTTCATGGAGCACATTCGTGCCAATGTTGCTGATCAGTTTTCGTCGTCCTCAGACGATGATGACGAAAAAGGATCTGAATCTGAAGAACCCAGCCATCGAGATCAACTTGATGATGATCCTTGGTCGACTGGTAGACCATCGAATACGAGAACAAGTTCAAGCGGATCAGGTGGAAGTGTGATCTCGAATCCCACACCATTCGGGTTTGATGACCGGTTCGATGCCCCAAGTAGGTCTTTCCCGACTCGCTTCGGGGCTGGTACCGAGGAGGTTCGTAAGCCACTTCTTATCATATATCGACATACCTCATCCGTCGATCTTTTTTATTTCCATCTACGAGATGCTTCTTCTGAACATTCATCCCCAAAATGATGAAGCTGGCGAGAATCATTGAGAGTCATCAGATGAGAATTATTCTCCCGTGTTTTTGGCATGGATATTGACAAATTTGTGGTGATCGACACAACTCATAGGATGATGATGATGAAATTGGTGGATTCGGAGACGACTTTGGACCTTTCAGCGACTCGGCAGCCATTCATCAGGCGCCAATCTACGACCCATTTACACTTACTTCCCCCTCTTTCGCCACACCGAAGCCCCTCAGAGTGTCTGTACAGAATGATGCAGAAGCGTCTTCAGCTGGGCCCTCCTCCATCAGTTGGGACACATCCTCTCACGACATGCAGAAGACAAGGACTCGCGACTCGGCGGGTGAAGGAGACGGCAGGGGGTTTGGTGACGACGATGATGACTGGGGAGAGTTCTCGGGTGCAGCCTCTGAGACGAGGTTGACACCAACAGAGCAAGACGCATGGACAGACTTTGATTTAGGAGTGGGTGAGACAGTCGAGTTGCCAAAAATAGAGCAGAAAGTTCAGATTGTTGGAAATCGATCAAGAGCTGGTTCAGCTTCTTCACCACGAGAACCTTTTGGACCAGGTGTGGACGCTTCGTGCGTTCAGGCGATCAGGGATGATGGGAAGGTGGAAGTAAAAGTTGGAGATGGCTCGGTAGTGACGGTGCCTAAGGATGAGGTGATGAATGCAGTGATGACAAATTCAGATGTGTGATAAGATGTAAGTAGTTTTTCCACTCTTCTGTTTGACAGACAACAAATACAAAATGTTAGATAGCTGATTGGATATAATTATGCGGTATAACTTAGAGAGTCTTTTACACATTTTTCTTCCTATATATTTATTGTATTATGGTTTGAATAGACTATTTGATTTATTCTCATTTCACTTAACAAGATTCACTTTCAACACTTTTTTCAGCAATGTCAGTTTAATAGACACAAGCTTTAGATTCTTCTTCTTCTTCTTCGTATGGCTTAGATTGTTGTTTTGTTCTAGATTTGGTGATTACTTCATGTTCATGATAAAATTGGTATCATTCCGTAAAGTTTTTTTTGTAGTACGTAATCCCTATGCAAGCCTTTGGCATATATAGAGCTTTATTTAATTTATGTACGTAAGTGCGCGTTTTGTGTTTTTTGATGAGCATGTCATTTACTCGACATCAACTGCATTATTTTCATCTATTGATATCTTACAATCAAAGCTCAATTTTTATTATATGATGCCACTGCCAGAAGTATGTATAAGAACAGGATATCGACTTTGGTAAGTTGATAGACAACACCCACCACATAGGTGTAGCATATGTTTTGAAGGCTTGATAAAACACCAATCCGACTTGTAAACTAAAAGGGACGCAGGTCCATGACTACATGGTCCAATTGACATAAATCTTGACTTTCTTGATTTGTCAAGACCCATTTCTTTACATCCCATTGAATCGCTTTGAAAAGTTTGGGTTTGTTAAATAACCATACCTTTGATTCATACGAGAGATGCGATTCAACCTAAAAGAGAGACGATGGCACGAGACGATGTGATCCTCTTGAAGGCGGTGCATTTAACTCTACCGCAAGTGAGATATTTTTGTGTTTTCCTTTCACCATCATGATATTCGTCTATCTCGTGGGTGATGGCACGATAATCGGCTCACATCGATATATGGCCGTGATTTTGAGATCTGCAATGACGACCAACCTGAACAAATTCATCCTGGCTGTCTTATAAGACACGTGAACTTTGGTGATTACCAGCGCGTGCTCGCGTGACTCTCTGCGCGGTCATGGCCGCGCGCCTCGCAAAAACAATCAAGTCCTATGGAAAGTGATTTCCACTTCAAGCGAGATGTTGTCTATATCGATGGTGAGGCCTTTGATAATACGTGATCCCTGTTCCGACTTTGATCAAGTATCAACGGAGATAGGTTATGATGATAGGCAAAATGCAAACCTTGCAGTTGGTTCTGATCACTTCGATCACCACATAGAGAGGCCTCGAGTAGCTAGTTTCAGAGGCCGGCGTGTCCAGAAAACAAGTCTAGATCTTTGCAAGGTCATAATTTTATTGTTCAAAAGTTTCCATAATGAGGCTTTGATTGATCGAAAATATCGCATGGAGTGTATTCAACTTGGTACTTTGTACATTAAGGCGAGACGCATTGTTTTATGATGGACCATTGTGAACAACAAACCCATACTGAAATCATCATCAAATCACCATGCACTCACGCAGAAAGCCTTTTGATCACATCGTCACATCAACTACGACTGAACTCCCTTCCGTGATATCATGCTTCAGCATGAAAAGCTCGGCGGAAAGAATGCTGGCTACCATCATAATGACTAAAACTTGAAATGTCACTTTTCGATGCTTTTCATCAGCACATTCTTTCAATGCCAGCTAGCTGAGCTTTCTCCTGTTCGTACGAGAAGCATCAGCTTCATCTTCATCATCCTTTAACTTATATAGCACGCTTCTTTGCAAGTTATCCTTACACTCACTATCAATCATCTCTCTCTCTATCATCAACACAAAGCAACAGCTATCATCACACCCTAATCAATTGTATAAACTGAATGAAATGATTTCCTCTTCACAACTTAATTTATCTCAAAAACTTGAAGATTGCTTGAGCTCGGTCTGGTTACTGGGCAAATCTAAAATCTCTCAAGTTTTCAATGGTTTTACGCAATCAGAGACTTCAAGTAGGACCCAAACCCCAGAAAATAATTCGGACACTGAATCAAGTCTAGATGAATCATCAATCTCAAAGTTTTGTTCAAGGTCAGATCTTGATCCGACTTTAAAGCGAATTGGAGATGCACTTCAACACTCAATCTTTTACTCCTCTGAATTCCTCACATTACCTTCAAAGTATCAAGCATTGTGCACTCAGATTCAAAAACAAGTAGACTCTCTAGATTTGATCACTCAACATTCATCAGTATTTCTCAAGAAAAACCAAAGTCAGCTTACCCTTATGATGATAGATTTATTGAACCTTGTTTGCGAAATGGTTGACGATTTGTATTGGAATGCGAAGAGTTTAGACATGAAAGTGAAGGCTCCTTTTTATGGATTGAAATTTTTCCGACATGATTTTGATTTGTTAGATGAACTTTCGTATGCTGATTATCTTGCATATCAATCAGACTCAGCTGGGAACACATCTTACTCGATTCGAATGCTCGGCAATGTTGACGTGAGTTCCACACAATTATCTCTTTTGCGATCTGCAGCCGATGCTTCCTCAATTATGGCACATCAATCTCTACGGGCCATTTTCGCTATCAACGCCGAAGGACCGCATCACGTACGAATCGTTTGCTATCATGCAGCAGGAGCCATTTGTACGGAAAAAATCAATCTTCAAACCTCCATGTATCGATTTATTGAGGCTATGGTTTGCGTGCTTATCAAGGATCCCGAACAAGCTGGAATTGATTCAAAGATGAACCGTGAAGGGGTTGTGACGCCTTTTGGTTGTTATCGAGTTGTGAAAGACTTTGTGAACAGTCCAGCTTACCTTGGAAAATCACTTCGAGTCTGCCTATTAGAGTCTCAATCAGAATCATCTAGAAGCCCTTCTACAGGTGAACAAGAACCTCAAAGATTGGTCATGAAGCAAAATTGGATCCCGCAAAACTCTCTAGAAACACAAGCTATACTCTCAATTCTAGAACAGACAAACCATATTCACGTCTTTGGTTTGGCAACCTGGTTGAAGGTTGAAAATTTAAGTCTTCCCGTTTCCGTCTCAGACTCTACCTCGAGGAAAAGAAACGCTTCTGAATTCACTGAAGATGATACTGATTTCTTTATTAGCGGACTCGATATCAGGCATCTCACTCCAATCCCAATCTACAAAACCTTACCAACATCGAATTTCTATCATCCTTTTAAACCTTCCTCTTTGTATAATGTAAGATATTTTAGTCGTACAGTTGGAATTCCTCTATATCATGCTGCAGGTTTTCAGCAATTAGTCACTGCCATCTTTCATGCTGTTATAGGACATTATAATTTATATAAATTAGGTTGGGTTCATCGAGATATTTCAGAAGGCAACGTTTTATTGGTATCAGATCAAAGTGTTATACAACAACCAATGCAAATTTCATCCAATTCACATTTATCAGAAATTTCAGAATTGTTTATCAAAACTCAATGTACAGCTTTCTTACATGATCTTGATTTAGCTTATTCTCATCAAAATCAAAAAGTTATTTATCAAAAAGAAGTTAAAGGTACTAGAGGTTTCTTATCAATCAGATTACTCAAAGAAAAAGTCAAGAATTCTAAAAAGTTTTTCCTTCAAAATTCAATCGATGATCTTGAATCTTTCTTATGGTTATTAATCAAAGTTATTTATCAAATTCAAAAACCTAAAAAAAGCTTTACTAAAACAGATTTAAAGATGATGAAGAAATTGAACCATGATTGTTCAGATCAATTGATGTTAAATAATAAATTAGATTTGATTAATTATTTTTTAAATGAAAAAAGTGAAGATGAAGATAAACTTTCTAGCATTTCACCCATCAAACCTTTATTGAAAAACTTATTCCAGTTCATGTCTATTCAAAAGTGTAAGCTTGACAAACTTTCTAAATCCAAAAATTGTTTTAATCAACTTGATGTTTTAGTTATAGAAACTTATAAAACCTTTTTCAAAGAATTAATCTCTGTAATTCCTAATCTACCTAACACTTGGGAGATTTGAATCATTTGTATTTACCTTCATTTTAATATAAAAGTCTTGTTTTTATCATATATGCATTTGTTTTATCTTACTTGATTCTTTGAAATCACAACTTTCAAGCAGACCAATTTCATTCATCTTGGGCCAAAGCACTTACTTTTGTAGGTGGATAATGACGAGTCTCTCAAATTTGACACAGAATGGATATGTCAACAAGGGACCTTGTGTCTAGCCCAAGTGAAAGTCTGCAAAAGAGCACAATCACTTGAATCAAATCTTTGTCCAAAGTACTTAGACAAAAAATCAAGACTTGAAGGCTTGAAAAAGTACATAACTCCCAACCTGATTGAGACAGGCAATGGTCACTTATGTTTGTGCAAGCTTTGACTTGTTTTCTACCACTTTGATGTGGAAATTCACATAAACCAAGTATGATGGTCAAGGGAGTAAAATAGTCTCCAACCCTCCCAACATCGTCAACTTCTTTGTCCTTGTACTTAAACTCTAGCCTCATTTTGAATGATCACAAAATAATAAATAAAATTACATTCTTTTAAATGATATATACCCTTCGAACTTCAAAAAATACTGTGGATTGTCTGTAATGACAAAGACCAAGATCTTTGAAATAAAAACCATTAAGAGAAAAACGACACAGGAGATAAATAGTAACATGCTTAACAAAGATCAAAAGAAGAAGAATCATTAAAGAAATTCCTTAGGTTTCTCTCCTTTTCCAGAATAATCAAATACCATTCCAGCTACTTTAAATGCCAATTCTAAAAAACACAAAAAAAACATCATCAATTTTCATTACCACGCAACCATCTAGAATTTGTCTATTGGTAAAAAGAAACAAAGTATATCAGAAAAAAACAAACGTACCATCCGTCATTTCACGAGTTTCAGCTTCAGCATAAACTCTTACACAATCTTCAGTACCACTAGGTCTAATAAACGATCTACCCAACCTAAACTTTTCTACAATCTGATCTAACTTGATTTGCATTTCATTAGGTTCTAATAATTTTCTTTCAGCATCAATCGTTTTAAACGCATTCCGATCAGTGACCAAAACCTTCACTAATCTATTAGGTAATTCTTCATATCCTTCATCCCATTCTTTCATACCCCATTCTTTTTGTAATAAGATGGTTTCTACTAATAACATATCACTGATCGAATCTCCTACAGTTTGATTGATGAGATTCGCTAGTTTTGATAGATTTGAAGTAGATGGTAAGGTTTTTAAAAAATCCGGTTTGAAGATCACTGTCCCATGTCCATTGGCTTCAAAATAAATTCCGATATCGTATTCTTGAGCTGCATGATGAAGGTATTTGACTCCGGTAGGTGTACAAGTCACAGGGAATCCCTTCAAACCCGTCAAGAGTCAGATCAAGTTTTTTTGGGAGGGGAGATTGAAACCTATACAAATCTCATATAAACAGATGAACCAAATGAACTCACCAATGTTTCAGTAATATAACGCGTCGAATTCCCATTAGCATAAGCCGTTTGAACCACTCCGATTCGAGCCTTCGATTGGATTTCTTGATCTTCCAATCCGATCAGATCTTTCACATATCCAGCCACAAGGCTAGCGATCTTATCACCATCCATTAATCTAAACCGATCTCCATTCGAATAATAATAAACAATCCGATCTGCATCTCCATCAAAACTACAGACTCGTTGAAATGGTTCTAGTTTCATCACCGGTGGTGCAGATTGAGTGGTCTTGACATAATCGGCTCCACATGATTTGTTTAATTTTCCTAAGGTATGGATCTCGGTGTTGATCAGTTGAAATGAGAGTGGAGAGGTAGAAAGATATGGTTGAAGTGCTTCAAGTTTTGGTGCTCCTACTCCATTTGCACAATCGACGGTGAGAGTTGGTAAAGTAGATTTTCGTGCCTGATTTGCAAGGAGAAGTTAAGATGAGCTTTCATTTATAAGATCCTTCTTTTGTTATCTTTTAGATCGAATTTGAAGAAATGGATTGTTAAAAGAAAGAAAACAAGACTAACGTTGATTTCATTGAAAGCATTTGATAATTTTTGATAATATCCTTCTTCAGATGGATGACCATAAACACCACCATCATTCCAACATTTCACAAGATAATGTAATTGAGGAGTGGTCTTTAAACCACCTTCGATAACTTCAAATTCACCCGTTTTTGATAAACAATCAATTCCATCCCTAAAAGCTTTGATTAATGAAGCACAAGAAGGTCTAGTATCATGACCATAAATGATCTTGGCAGGTTTTTTAAGATCGATTGATTCAACTTTGATGATTTCTTCAAGTGTTTTGAAATGGTTTGATGAATTGGCTAATGAAGTGGCATGTGATTCCCATGATGAGTTTAACATCTCTCCTTGAGGATCGATGAGTTTTACACCATTATCCTAAAAAAACAAAACCTCAAGAAATCAATCATTAGTACAAAAAGTTTTCTTCTCTTGATCATTAAAACTTAAGTAACTCACTTCTTCTGGGTTATGACTAGCAGTAATCATCACTCCAATCGTTTGTCCGTCCAACTTTTTACTTCTCAGAACTGCTAAAAGTCCTACACTAAAGAAAACACTATCTAAAACCTTTGCACTTTCAAAAAAAATCAATCATTAGGATTCCATTTGATGGATTGAAGTAATAAATTGATATCTACCATGAGATTACTTACTTATCACGAAATCCTGCTGTACCATAAGCGTACTTATAGTTAGGTGTCAATGGGTGATTCTTTTGAGCTTCTTTTATGATAGTTGAATCCATTTTGATGATTTGTTGAGATATGATAAATAAAGATTCGGAAAGATGAGTTGAAGAAAGTGATCGGAGTTTCGAAGTTGAGGGATGATGATGTAATCAAAGCTTTACATACAAAACCACACACATGTAATCACGACCAAGAAACTAGATGAATTCGATGTCTTTCATCATGGAACTTCAATTTGATCACCCCAATTTGGTGGTGTGTCGGATGACAACTTTGGTATCCGAGCCAAATATGTTGGCAGTGTTTGCTTCAATATGTAAGAGATATATACAAAAAAGAAGAAAGATTCAATTATGAAAAAGGAGAAGAAAGACAAATCATGAAAAAAAACCAATGATGCAGCGGAAGCCTCACATGAAACTCAAGATCAATCAAGTTCAAGTTCTAAACGATTAATAGAAGATGGTTAAGAAGAATTAGAAACGAATTCGAAAAAAGTTAAAGGAAACAAATTAGATGAATGGAAAGGAGGACAAGATATGATGAATTATAGTGATGCGAAAAGTTTAGGATTAGTTAATGAAGACGAAGTAGGAATTGATGAAGAAACTGACACTCAAAAAGAGATGAGAATGAAAGAAGGATTTATTGGGAAATGGGAAATCTCAAGACCGATTCCTAAATCAAATCCGACTTCAATATCATCTATTAAAAAAGAAACTATTGTTCCGAATCAAACGATCAGATCGAAACTTTCTATTCAATTTAATTCAGATTTAGAGCCACCATCTAAGCTATTCAGTGAACGGAAGATCAAAACTGATTTCGATCCAACAAAAAACCTAGAAATCAAAGTGAAGAAGAAAACAAACGTTCAACTTAAAGAAGAAGAAGGAATCGATTTCAATAAACCTATTTTACCTTTTGGTCTGGATGTACTTTAATCCCAATATTCAAATGAAGAAGATGTATCAATTCCTGTGAACGGTGATCAAAGTCGATCGTCGGTGGATGAGGATGATGTTAAACCCGCTTTAAATCAACTTGAAGAAACCAAACCGTCAGTTGAAGAAGAAACAAAAGTTCTTTTTAAGAAACGTAAACCTAAAGCGAATTCAACTTTACGACAAAAATCATGAAATCTTCAACGCATTGATGTTATAATTCATCTTCTGTCTTTTGACTTGTTGGATCTTTTCTTTGTTTTACATGATACCTTTTCAAAAATCAAAGCTTTTTTTTCAAAACTTTTCTTCTTCATTTATTACTTCGTTTTTGTATTAAATCGTATTTTCACTTGACTTTGATTCATTAAGAACCGACTGATCAAACCACCTAATGAATACTATGTCATATCATTTTCATAAAAAAGTATTTAATTAGAACTTGGATGATCTAGAGAAGAGAAAAAAGAAAGAACTTATTTACAGCTGTTTCGAAAACAAAACTGGTTGTCGTTGTTTTTTTCTTTTTTTTTTCATATCCGCGGTCAATTTATTTGACCTGATTGGGCTAATTCTCCCAATCGGGAGCAAATATCCAAATTCTATTCGCATGCACCTTGTCCAAGCCCCCATCTTGCCAGATCCACCTCACCACATCTCACGAAACAAAAACAACAAGAATGCCTCGATACAGCGCCGACATCAAAGTGCAGGCGATTACTTTATTGTCCGAAGGTATGAGTCGAGCAGCCGTCAAACGCCATCTGCGATCTGCAGTACATGTGGACACCCTCACCCAATGGCAAAAACTATACGAATCAACTCTAGCCGTGGTTCGCAGTGCATCAGAATATGAGAAACGTGGTCGTCCCCTCGTATTCTCAGATCAAGAACGTGAATTCATGGCCGACTTGATCTCTGCTGACCCAACACTCTATCTTGACGAAGTCCGGGAATTGGTGTACAATGAAACCGGCATTCACGCCAACTTGTCAACCATTTCCGACGACCTTATTGATCGTCTCAATTTGACTCGGAAGAAGGTTGAAACCGTTCATCCAGCTCAATGCCCGGTCAAGAGGGCCGCTTACGTCTACTCAATTGCCAATCTGGATGCCGAAATGCTCGTATTTGCAGGTGAATTTGTTGATTTCATCCTCATCCAACTCTGTTTCACTGACGTGGTGTTACACATTAGACGAAAGTGCTGTTGCTTCACGGGAGGTATATAGACAATATGGCCGAGCGTTCCGAGGATATCGTACCACACCCCAAAAACGAACTCGTGCCGGAATCCGGTACTCTCTTTTGCCAGCAGTCTGCATGGATGGACTCTTAGCTGTCTCGTGTCAGGAAGGTAGTTACCTTCGAGATGATTTTGAAGACTTTCTTGAATTCAATCTGGTATGTCTATTGGAACATTTTTGAGTTATCATTTCAAAGATTTTGGAGCCATCATCACTTGCTGACTGGCATCTTTCTCAGTTACCAAAAATGAATCCATATCCATCTCCAAATTCAGTTCTAATCATCGATAATGCCCGTATTCATCACGGAGGGAGGATCGAGGAGCTGTGTGAAGACCGTGGGATCCGCTTGATCTACCTTCCACCTTACTCGCCAGATTTCAATCCTATCGAGAAAGCCTTCAGTGCTTTGAAGGCTTATTTTCGTCGCACTCAATACTTGCAAGGTTTAATCCCTGAAGAAATGATCAAGGCTATTGAGGAAGCTGTTCACTTCATATTTACTAGGGAGCTGATGGTTCCTCTGTACAATTCATCTTGGCTTCTGTAGAACTCTATTCATTTCATCAATCAGTTTGACTCAACTCCTCAAAACTGTCAAAAGAAATCGATCGATCAAATTTAAATCAAACAATTCTCAATCAACCACCTTCAACCACTTTTTTATTAATCTCAATTTCAAATTTATTCAATTCTCGGTCACTGACTTAGTTTGAAGTAATTCTTCGATTTATCTATGTATGTACTATGCCAATGTTTGGTTGTTTGGTTGCTCTCTTAGAATTGATTAAGCGATATCGATCATTTTTGGTTGCTCTCTTAGAATTGATTGTGATATCGATCGATCGATTAAGAGATATGGATGTTTGTAGAAGTGTACACATGATCTTTGAAAGAAAAAAAAGAAATTCTTATGTCTTGTTTTGATTGATTTACTTGGAATGCAAGAAGTTGAGTACAAGAATCTAAATTAGAATCGATTTCTAATTTCAAAGAAAAACAACTGAAAACAAATCAAAATCACAAAAACTAAACAATGAGACAAACGAGACAAGAAGTTCATCTGTTGAGATTGTATGGATACAGACAAGTGGAGACTGAGACAAAAAGTTATCGAGGAGAATGAAAAAGCGTAGACACTATACTCTTCTATTGAGGTCAGATGGATACAAAAAACTAAAGAACGAGTAAAGTAGTTATACAAGTTGTAGATAGATCACAAACTATTCATCTTTGATCGCACCCAATCCCATCATAAATCATTCAAAGTAAAATCCAAGAAAAACAAACAATTGCTTTCGCTTTCAAACACTTGAGCGGCCTTTATAAATTCTGTCTTATCTGGAAATACTCGTTGACCTTCGGACATGAATATCGGCATCGCTTTCTTGCGGCAGGGAAAGGCTTCTGGTACTGCAGCAGCGGTGGAAGTGTTTGCTGGAACAGGAAGTCAAGATATTCTAGCCTGAAGGATCTCGGCTTCTTGTTTTTTGAACTCACTGATCGAGATCCACTTCCAGCCTCTTCGAAGTGGTGGCTTCACGTTGCTCACACCTGGGACCCCGTTGACCTAAACCAGAGAAAATTAGTATTCATTTTAACCAAGATAAAATAAACACGCACGATGTCTCGAGCCCAGATCTTGATCATATTTGTATTCAACTTGATTAATTCTTCTTTGTTCTCTGGGTTAATAACTCGTATCGAGCTTTCACCATTAGCTTCACTTTTGGTGAAGCGTGTAGTGAGGTCTTGAATCACCTTCAAAAGACGAGCTTCATCATCATCATCATCATTGTTCTATGGGAGCAAAAGAGACATTCAGCTCAGCTACATTTGAGATTGAATTTTCCAATAACATACAGGTGTGGACTGCCTGTGATGAGCTCCTTGAGCTCGGTTTTGCTTGAGTCGAGCAAGATTTCGAGCTACTTTTTCAGCCTGAAAATTGATTTGTCAAACCCAATCACAATCACAAGAAAGACTGAACGAGCTCACGTTATTCTCCTTTGCCCTTTTGGTCTTTGGGTTTGTCTGTACAAAATCCAAATGCATAGATTGCATTGGGTCGTCGAGGCAAGCTGAAATGAAATCGTTAAAAGCAGTGTCGGTCATGATTTCAAATTGTTTATTCTTGAGGAAGCTCTTGTGGGCATGGATCCAACCGGTAACTTTGAGATCATTCTCTGAGAGTGCTGCGGTAAGGGCTTCGGAGATATTTGCCTCAAGTAGATCACATTGACTGAATATCAAAGAACGGAAAAGCTCAAGATCAGCATCATCATGTACTGATACCCGAATCTCCCAATCCTTCTTGAGGGGGGTGTAGGTGGCCACAGTTGGTCCTGAAGCTTTTGTTGACCTCTTGGAGCGTGATCGACTAGAATGAGCATCCTCATCGGGTTCATCAGGTATGAAAACCTCAACATGAACTTTGAAAGCCAGCTCAGTGGTTTTCAAAGATGAGCGATCTAAAAGCAGAGTCAAATTTGTTATCTACTGGGATAATGAACAACAAGACGTACCTTCACAATCAACTTCAATAAAATTCAAACCCAAGGCCGGTGATCTTCTATTCAAAGCAGGTGGAGGCGGCAAATCTGAAGATGAAGAGTTGAGATCAATATCTACAGGGAAAATAAAAAATAAGACATACCATCACAATCAACTTCAACAACATTCAAACCCGAAGCCTGAGATCTTCCATTCAAAGAAGGTGGATAGGAAGAAATAGAGGTTGATGGTTGTGATGTTGGAAATGTGATTGGGCCAGTTTGGCTGAAACGTTGATAAGAAAAATGCCCCGGTGCATGTAGGATTGGTGCTTCTTGAGTCAAATCTTGAGCCGGGTGGAAGAAGCTTGAGGATGTACCGCTATAAGAACCACGAGACTGTTGAGCTGTGTTGAAATTAGTGGTTCTTTGATATGGGAGTGATTGATTGAAACTTTGAAAAGGCCGTGAATTCCGATCAGCAGGCATGTTGAGGATGGCTCAATTGTGTTGTGGACAAACGTGGCGCTGGCTTCAAGCTTGCAATGTGATTCAACAGGGTCCAACAGGATTGAACCTCATGCCACGTAATCAGCTGTCATCAGCCTTTTGCGCGGTTTTTCTGCTAGATTCAAAACCGCGGATATGAAAAAAAAAAAAAAAACGACAACCAGTTTTGTTTTCAAAACAGCTGTACCTTCAAGTGATAAAGTTTGAATCTTTTCATCCAATTTGTTTAATACTAATTCAGCACAGAAATCGATTCCATCAGAAGAATTTGTAAATTGAATTTGACTTGGAGTAAAGATTTTAATTTACCATTTTGAGACTCTGATACGATGCTGTGACTGCTACGTACATAATTTCATTTTTACTCTTAAGACAGTAGTTTCAGACAACACTTGTGACTTTGTACGTAGAGAATCTTTCCACCCACATCTTTTCAAAGTGAACAAGATCATGAAAAATTTCAAAACATCAAACACTCAACTTCATCTTTCCAAAAATCAAGAGATCAAAACAAACACATTGCTATTTCAACTTCAAAAAACGAATTAAATCACAATTATAAACCAATTGAAGATTCTCTTCAGATCAAAATTTGTTCAAATCAACTCTCAAGAACTCAAAACACTCAACCCAACCAATCAACTTATTCATTTTACAATCAAACATTTAAGAACAAAACTCACATATACATCTACAATGGATCAAAACAACAATTTACCTTTAGAACTCATTGATCAAATATTACAAGAAGTTGTCAATCAATCCAATAAAGAATTCAAATTAGAAACTCCAGCAGGTTCAGAACCTTACCTTTGGTACTTGTCATACAAAAATTTAATAAGATTAAGACTCATCAACAAGAACTGGTCTAGAGCTGTTATAAATTACTACAATACGATTTACATCAAAGACTCAGAATCTGCACAAACAATTATAGATAATTGTACTATATTTAAACCTTATGTTTCTTGTCCAGTTAAAAGACTTATAATTTGGAAAGTTGAGTATCCAGAAGAAGAGTTGGAAGAAGAAATAGAAGAAGAAAATGATGGAGTACCAAAAGTTGATGGTAATTGATTTGAATTTTATTAGCTGAAAACTGTCTTTCAAATTACTAACTATAGTTTTTCACTACTTTTGTTTTTTTTAGGTCAAAATAGATCAACTCCAGTCACGATGAAGCAATTATCTGAATTAATTGAATTGATTGGTACAAATTTGAAGGATGTGAAGATTCAATTTGCTGATTCTATGGGAGCTTCCTCAAGACTAATTCAAGCTTTTACAACAATTAAAGATTTAAAATCATTGTCTTTCACACGAGAAGCCTGTTGGTTTGAAGAACCTTATTACAATGACCATTCATTATCAAAATTATTCTCAGTCATACCTGGACTTGAATGCTTAACACTTAATGACATATTCTTAGATACTTTCAAATTAAAACCTCCAGCATTATCCATCTAAAATACTTAGCTATAAATCCCTATGATAATAATTTAGAAGCAGGTGCTCATGTCACTCAAACTGCAAAAAACACTTTAAAAATTGTTGAATTTACTAATGATACTGAGTATACAGTTGGTTTTGAGGAAGTTTTGGAACCCATTCAGCATACATCAGAAGGCCTTTTTTTATTCTCATTTACTAAACAAATTGACAGTGGGCTCTTTGAGTTGAGTTTTCCAAATTTAAGAGTCATTGGAGATCAAGATTCAGGTTGTTTAGTTGAAGATGATTACACATGGGAGGATATTTCTTGGTTACAAGTTCCGATGCTAGAGAATGTCAGAACAATTGTCACTGACATAGATTGTAGTGAAAAGTATTGGAGAGATACCTTAAATTCAGCTGAAGGTTTACAGAAAGGACCAAATCTCAAACTTATGGTATTTACTAGAGAAAAACGACTAGGACCTCCAGCTATTGACCCAGAATTGGTTGAAGCCTTCAAATCTCATGGAGTTGAATGTCATATCAGTCATAAATTAACAGCAGCAGAAATCTTTGTATGTCTAAATTTCATCTTTTCACATAAATCTTTTGAGATTGCAAACTTTGGTATAATTTATACTGATTTTTCATTTATTGAATAGGAATTAGATTATGAATTCAATGGACCTGTGGAATGAATTATTAGATTTGCTCATAAAAATTGTTTCAAAGTCAACATTTTATTAAATGCCTTTATCTAAATTCTAGATTCTGTAAAGTTGGGATGTATTGCATAATAAAGTAAATGCAATAATAATTTTGGATTCGTTCTTAGCCTTTTTTGTTATGGTATTCAACATCCCATGGTGTTCTTTTTATTTTTTTTCTTTAGATGACTAATAGTGGTTGATGCTCAGGTGGATTTGATTTATTAATGTTTTATTTTACTCGACTTGTCAAGGACTTTAGTTTGTGTTCAAGGCTTTATTAATGATTACAAACAAAGATCAAATGAATGATGAATAGAGTGGTATGAGGTCTGATTAGTTGAAGGGTCTGTGTTTTATTTGGATTTTGTGTGTGTTTTGGGAATAGGTTGCTTGTGACATGCGTATTTCTTTTTCTTATGTCCGTGGTGCTTTATGATTGTGTTTTTCTTTTATATATACTCTCTAGTTGTTCCTCCCAGTTTCTTTCCTCATTGGAAAGAAATTGTAAGTCTTTTATTTCTCTCATACATTGTTACAAACTTATATCTGATTATAATCTCAAACTACAACTCTTCTTTAGTTTTACTTTTGCTTTTACTTACATTTTTCTGACCTTGTACCTGTCTACATTTACCTGTTGCTTTACGCACAGGTTTGTGTTATCTCTCTTATTATTCTTTTTCTACTCTTTACTAATCTGTGTGTGTGTATCTAGGTGTGTTCTAGTGTTCAAAGCTCTTCAAAGCTTTTATTTTGGCTTGTTGCCGTAGTGCTTACATCGCACCTGATTACCCCACATTAGTATATTCATATGATTGGAAAGAAACTTATTAATTACTTTTGCATTTACTTAAATTTTTCCAACCTCGTACCGGTCTATGTTTACCTGTTGCTTTATGTACAAGTGTGGTCTAGTTTTCAAAGCTCTTCAAAGCTTTTGTTTTGGCTTGTTGCTGTAGTGCTTACATTGCACCTGATTACCCCAGGCAAGTCTGGCTTGCAGCACTACGTAGCGCTACTAGCCAGGAAAGTGTTAGGGTAGCTATGGAGCAAAGCCCCAAACCTTGGTAGGGTTAGTGGTGGCAGAAAATAAAAATCAGACAAAAATCATGGTGAAAAGTGTGCACTGCGTCCACCACCTCCCTTCTTGACATCGAGAAGGGTAGAATGGTCAGAGTTTGATGCGAGAAAGGTCTTTTCAAAAAAATCGTTTCTTCCACTCATTCAAACACCTCGTGATCACTAAGAAGTTGGACCCGACCCGAGGATAATACCTTGTGTATCCTCGCAGCGTCTCCCAGAAACACCTACAGATGCATCCCAGAGGCATCCGATGCATCTGGAAGCCACCTACACACCCAAGATTCACACAACTGCCTCACTCCAAATTCCACGATCCTACACACACCATCCAGCGCACCCCACCAAGTTTCACTCCCCTGCTCCCTGTAATTCACTCGCCTTCTGGTCAAGTACCTTGCAGCTCACTCCTTGTCGATCTCATGTTCACACCAAACTACTGTAATCATCTCATTTTCACTCCACACAAAGCACTATTTCACTCCTACCCGCACTTCCCAGTCCCCTACACAAAAGTATCGTGAAACCCCCTTTCACTCACTCTCAGCACACATTCATTGACACACAATTTCACAAACCTAATTCCCATGTCACTCGACTTCCCTTCAAATATGATAACACCGCCAAAGTTACACATATCTTTCAACTCAACCATCTCGATTATCTTTCCACTCAACCATCTCGATTCCACGTCACCTACCTAATCAACTGCAACCACTTCGACAACGACAACATCATGCCTCCCAAATGCAAGGCCTCTTCATCTGCTGCCCCTTCCAAACGACCAACACGTCGCAGAACCTCAAAGAAGGTCGCACCTAAACCAGTGTCAGAGACTTCCGAATCCTCGGACAAATCATCCAGTGTAGTGAGCGATCTTCACTTGAACAAAGATAATCCAGGCGAAGACGAGGATAGCCATTGGGAAGACGAGGAAGCAGAAGAGAAAACACCCAAAGTCAAAAAAAAACCTTCAAAGTCATCCACCACAACAAATCGCCAAAGTCAGGTCATCAACGTCACACTTCAAAACTACAACGAGCTCGACTTGGATATGGACACCATCAAGCAACTCATGTCAGCCACTGGTCGCCAAACCCGAAATCGCATACCTTCTGACATCCAAAAGGAGTTGAAATCCTTACAATTCATGTATCGCCGAGCCAAAAAATTACTCGCCTTGGCAGCCCACTGCAGTGAAAAGACCATCAACGAATATCTGTAAGTTCAAATTCATTTGAATGGCACCAACCCTTTGCTAACTCAATCCCTGTTTGTTACTTACTCCACAAAGTCACGAAGTCAGCATCAGAACAAAACGCACATTTTATCAATTGTTTCTTAAGTACAGCATCAAAAGTGCAAATACCACGAGTGAGTTCCTTTTGCGCACTTCAACAAATTTCATTAATCAAACCCAAATGAAATCACAGTGCCCCCCAGGAACACGCAGGAAGGGTTCAAAGAGCGGAATCAACATCTAGGTCATACTTGGTCCAACCTCGAACCCAATGAGAAAGACATTTTCAATGAGAGGATGTTCTTTACTCTGGGCTATTTGGCATGTGGATGGGCAATTCCTCCGGCAGAACCTAACTCTACACCTTTGACTGATGACGAACAACAGTTGTATCTACCGATCTTCAAACGCTTGGTTGACATGGACAAGGTAGCGCGTGACCTTGGCCACGGGCAATTTGGTCCGCATCTTCCCACAGCCAGGCAGAACAAAGGTATACAAGAGATCACAAGCATTGAAAATGAGGTAAAGTCATCTCGCCCATCTCTAATATGACATTGATATTTATGAACCTTCTGCTCATCTTCTAGCTTCAAACTGTACACATACGCTATGGAGTAGACTATGCACTCATGGCCTCCTCCTGGAGCCCGTACACTCACAATGCGAAGGGCCTTTGGGAAATGCAAGCCTCCTCGTCTGACGATTGGACCACCCTCACCAACACAAAGTGGCACCTGCTAGAGAACTTTGTACAGCATGTCGCCCAGTCAGACCTCCAAGTCAAACCCACCCGGACAAAGAAACCTCAGGCCTGCGACCTGCTCAAATCTCAACTCACTGCTGCGTTGAATCAACTAGTTTGTATGTATTTATCATTTTACTGATCATGCCATTAAACTCACCCATGTTTCAATCGCTCAGGGCAGCATCTCAAGCCTCCATTAGGCCGCTTTGACTGTCACCCCAAGACCTCGTCACCTCACATCACACTCCAAAATCGACACTTCAAGGACAACATCCGGCTCGAATGCATACGAGACGCTGCCTCCTGCATGACAGATGATTTACTGTCCAAACCATTCGAAAAGATGACAACCAAGACCCATCAGATGTGGCTCAATGACATTAACACTGGGTTATACACCGTCGTAAAAAGCGTCATGCAAGATCAAGACCAAATGAACCCTCAATCACCCTTGCAGAATGTTCCTGAAGTTGAAGGATAGGGTTGGATAACAAGTGTTCCTTGTAATTTCATTTTTCATCTTACTACTCTGTTGTATATATGGAAACAGAACAATAGTTGATATATAATTCATATTGAATCATTTTTAACTCTACTCTATCTAACTCAAGTTATACACACAAAGGACAGGACAAATTTGAGGATATCTCCGCTTGATACCAGGTGGCATCACTCCGTAGAGAGAGAGAATATGTAAAGGTTTGGCATTAGTTGTGATATTTGCATGTTTTCAGTGAAGTGATTTTTCACAAAGGCCAACTATTTTTGAAATGTTTCACACAGAAATGATAACCCAGAAATCGTGTGAGAATATTCTTCACTATAGATGCGAAAAGGTTGTGAAAACCTAGTTTTGTTAGAGGAATTGAATTGAATTGATAGATCTAGATCATGATTTTGGATTTTTCACACCAATAGTGCAAATGTTTCACACTGATTTTGGTAACATTTCACACTTAAACAGGGTGAAGGTTTCACTATACGTGTGAAGAGTGCTGCAAAAGTTTTATTTTATTAGTGAAAGAAATTGTCTTATTACCAAAATAGTTCAAATTTTTCACCCTGATTATGGAGAGCTTGCACACAGAAATGGTGTGAATGTTTCAATATATGTGTGAAGAAAGCTGTCCAAATGATATTGCTTTAGTGAAGTAAATTATCTTCACAAAAGATAATTTAATCGTTGCAATTATTGTTGATGACTCACATTTTTCACACTTAATTTCGACTTTTCACACTGAAACAGTGTGAATCGTCACTAATAATGCAAATATTTCACTCACCTCATGAAAATCATGTTTTTTTAGTAAAGGAAAGGATCTTCCAGAATGTATTATCACGCATTCATGAACACATTTTTCACACTGATTTGGAAAATACTTCACAATGAAATGATCCAAATTGATTGCTATATGTGTGAAGAATGTTGTGAAAAACACGTTTTGTTAGTGAAGCAATAGATCTTCACCAATAATGTATTCAATCATTTCGAGTTTGGCGATTGTTCACACCTATAGTGAGAACAATCACCCAAATCGATTCCAGTGGCAACACATGATACAATAAAGTTAATATCATTATCATTCCGAGTTTTTTTCATGTATCAAATTCATCATCATCCTCAGCACCATGCTCTTCATAGTCGTCCTCATCCTGATGTTCTTCCCCTTCACCCAAAATGGTCTCGATGTGGACCATTTTCTCCCATTCCTTAAGACTTGCTTCAACCATTGTAATCCATTTAGCATTTAATTCGTTATCACTTCCTGTCTCACATATGCAAACATTATATGGAGCAGTTTCAACAAGCAAACTGCTGATGTTGCTGTTCCAATACAGCCAGATTCGACAAGCTTCACGAGCTACAGATGATGTCAATGCCATCATCACCTCTTTAGTTGGCCAAATGGGAATGACATCTGTCGTACCAACAAAAACATCATATGTTAGGATTGAATGATAGGAGATTTGCAACATCAAAATTGAACAAACAACCGAC